TGTCCAACCCACTGAGCCACGCTGGTCAGGGTGAGTTGCATCTTATTGGTCATGTGGCAAAATAAGGTTGCATCTGTTTGGTAAATTCTTGGTACTGAAAATCCTTATATATGAGTAATAGGCACCTGATTTTTCTAAAAAGTCACTTTGGAGCAAAAAGAGTAGGCAATTATATTTTTTTTGGTAAATCAATCAAAATTATACCTATTTTTGTCAGATTGGCAAAATATATTTTTTGGTGTGCTACAGAATTTTAGTAGTTACTTTATGTGTGCCCTGAGATGACAAGGGTTGGAAGTCACTGGATTACAGGATAGTTAACAAGATTATGTGCTCTCCTGAGGGTGGTTGTGCCTCCAAAGGGGTCTGGAGAAGAGGGCTGATGTTGGGAACCCTGCCTGGTTTCAGGAGCTGTAACTTCCCCATGGCTAAGGCTGAGTGAGTGACCTTTGGACCATAATCCACTAAGGAGACAAAACTTACCTCCCTGGCAGGGGTGCTGCCTCTGCCCCTTTTACTTCACCCTGCCTGGCCCCCAATGCTTGATCGGTAAGCCAATGATGGGTAAGATTCCTCAAGGGAGGAAGGACCTGAGATAGGCACAATCATGGGGAGCCCCCAGGGAAGGACTTGGGGGCCTATAGCAAAAGGGGTTGATGGAATCTTGTCCCTTGCCTTTGACATAGCCCATCTGTGAGAAGTCTCCTAATCTCTTGGCTGCCTTAATTCCCCTGTGTGACTTAAGCCTGAAACAATGACAGAGGGTGGTATAGCCCTATGCTGGAAAGGGCAGATTCCCCAGAGTGATCAGGCCTAAGAAAGAATACATAAAATCCTGTGAAACCTGCTTTGCTAAGAATGCTCTCAAGTGATAAGGGTCCGAGCAGGAAATGAGTTTGTTTCCCAAAGTTTTGTATCCCTTTAGCGAACAGACCCTGACTCAGAATAAGCCCTTGTAGTTCTTTGTATGTTATTTATTGTTTGATCCTTACTGCCTGACAATGATTGATACACTTTACCTGTAGGCCTGTGCAAACTGAAACCCAATAAAAGCTTGTCAAGGCAAGGGTCGGGACACTCTCTTCTTGAGAGAGTGGCTAGGCCGCTCCGAGGTGCTCTCCCCTTGAGAGAGTAGCCACACCATCCCTTTTCCTCCACAGGATTTGGTAGTCATGTGAATTTGTCTCATTTCTCATCCATAATGCCACAGACAATGCGGGCTAGAGTCTGCATCAGGCTACTCTTGACATTTCAGAGGCATGTTAACCCAGATGCACAAGAACAGCGCTTAAGGCAAAGATAAACCTTTCATAGACCTGGGGTAGGACTACCCACCATGATCTGCCCAGTTAGGAATGTGTGAGGCTACTTTCCATTGAATCCTCCTATTTTTGCTCATAGCAACTTGCTGAAGGTCACTTAGTTTGAAAGGGATGAGTGTGACTCTTCTGGAGACAGGGATAGATGGGAGGAGTGAGAAAGAGAGGAGAGCCCAGGAAAGAGAGTGAAAAACAAAACTGGAGCACCTGATGTGCTGATGGGAAGAGAATGAGTCCAGAGTAGTTTTAGAAATTTGCAGGCGTGTTGCCCTGGCTGGTGTGGCTCAGTGGATTAGGGGTCACTCTGTAAACCAAAAGGTCGCCAGTTTGATTCCAGTCAGGGCACATGCCTAAGTTACTGGCCAGGTCCCCAGTAGGGGGCGTGTGAGAGTCAACCAATTGTTTCTCTTGCACATTGATGTTTTGTTTCCCCTCTCTCAAGGAAGGGAGGGAGGGAGGGAGGGAGGAAGGGAGGGAGGGAGGGAGGGAGGAAGGAAGGAAGGAAGGAAGGAAGGAAGGAAGGAAGGAAGGAAGGAAAAAGTTCTGCAAATTAAAGTGACAGAAGAAATTAGCAAGAGAAAAGACAGATTTTTATTCACATACACACAGGGGAGTTCACAGGAAGATGTGATTCAATGAGGCAGTTAGAATTTGGGGCTTATATACCATCCAAAGTGGGGAAGGGAGGGGGAGAAGGACAGGGGAACAGCACTTATGGGAAAACAAATGACTTTTAGAAAAGATAAATGGGCCCTGAGGAGAGCGAATGGAATGTGATAGCTGTGTGGCCATGCCCACTGAGGCGTGGTGCTCCTCTCCAGCGGTAGAACACTGGAGTTCTGTGGGAGGCTCTGCTTTGGGGTAGGTAAGGGTTTTCAGAAAAAGCCTATATTCAAGTGTCTTCACTTCATGATAATTTTTATGCCACCATGGCATATTCTGGATCACTATACAAGCCGTGCATATTCAGCTACTCCTGTGGAAAAAGTGGTAGAGGCCACAATTGCTAGAATCTAGAGAAAATGTGGGAGAGATACTTCGAGGTGTAAGACTGTGCTTCTGCCATGGTGAAAAGAGGCAATTCGCTGATGCCGAGAAGCAGCAGAGATCAGGCGTCTCTGGCAGCACTGTCCGACGGCAATGAAATGTGAGCTACACGTGTCATTTCGAATTTCCTAATAACCATAGTAAAAGGTAAAAAGAAACAGGTAGAATCAGTTTTGGTAATTTATTTATAACCCAATCAAAACTGTTGTCATTTCAACAAGTAAAATTATTTGAGATATTTAACTTTTTTTTTGGAAATAGGTCTTCAAAACCCAGTTTGTATTTTGCACTTCTCTCCATTCAAATGAGCCGCATGTCCGGTGATCAACACGTGGCTGGCTGACAGCTTCCATATTACACAGCACAGGCCTCCGGGGTCCAGCATTAGGAACGTTTTATGGACTCAAGGCTGCAAACACCTCTGCTTCTGTTGCTGAATGTCTAACAGGTCTAGAAAAGTTACAGCAGTATGGAGAGTTCCAGGAAGCAGGCTATTAATGTGGAAATTGTTGATGGCAAGGCTATAACCTCTAGGACATCTTTCTTTAAAAATTTTACTTACTTTTTTAGTTTTAGAGAGAGTAAAACGTAGGGAGAGAGAGGATGAGAAACATTGATGTGAGAGAGAAACATTGATCGGTTGCCTCTTACCCCACCCAGGATCTGAACCCACAACTCAGGCATGTGCCCTGATCAGGAATTGAACCAGCAATCTTTCGATTTGCAGGACGATGCCCAACCAACTGAGCCATACTGGTTAGGACCCTCTAGAACATCTTTATGAGAATTAGAAAACAGTGACTCCTCTAGGCTTAAGGCTTAGTGAGAGAAAGGTACTTTTGAACAATAGCAATAATAACCCAAGCCTCCCTTTGTCCAACAGTCTTGTACTAGCCAGGTTCAGTGTAGAAAAAGAAGCACTACTCCAGGCATTTCAAGAGGAAAAGATTTAATACAGGGGAACAGGGGTCTGGGCCACTATCTTCTGCAGAGCCCAACTCCCTACTCACTCCTGGAAACTAGGGACATTTTCCTCATGTCCCCCATGGTCTGTGACACAGTGCTGGGCACTGTGGTCACTCAGTAGTTGTGTAAAGAAGTAAGTACAGACTCCCCCTGGCCTGAATCTGGGCACCAAGGAATATGACCCACCCTTGCCTCAGAGCCTGAGATTGGTACTAGGTTAAGGTGTTGAAAGCCCCTCTGGTTGAGCAGTAACTCAGGCGTGGTAACACTGTTACCAGCCATTGCCCCCATCCTTGCTAACTGAACCCCAATATTATTTGGGTAGTGTGTGCCCAGCCCATGGACAGGGACCGTGATTAGTCTAAGCCAGTGATGGCAATCCCATTCCTTTGCCCAATACTTGCTTTCCCAGCCACCCTTGCAGCTTGAGGTGGTTGGGTGACCTAGTTGTAGACGTGGAGAAAAGGAGAAATCTTCCTGGAAGCTTTAGGGCAAGGCAAGAAGGTATGCCACGAGAAACACTCTGCCTTCACCCCCATCCCCCCGCCCTCTTCTTCGTACTCCCTAACAGCATATAGTCAGACCTGATAAAATGTTAGGAGCTGCTGTGAAGGCATTTGCCAACCGTGAGAAGGTCAAGAGAATGCCAGATCTGCCAGCCCCTGAACAAATGCCAGCATCTTCTATCTCTAGACTTCTTGATTCATGAGAAATATATGCCCCTATTTGTTTAAACCATAATTACTTAGGTTTTTTGTTACAGCTGAATCTAGTTCTAATTCATAAATCTAATGGTTACTCAAAGGATTCATTGATCCCGGAACTACAGAATCCTGGGGCTGGGAGAACACCGCAGTTACAGTTAGCTCACTCCTCGCAGTCTTGGTGTGGCTCTCCCCTGCCCTTCCCACGGGGTGGGGGGGGGCGGGCAGTGAGCCTCTGCTCAGAGACTGGGCTCCCAGGTTAGATGACTCCAGAGGGTATGGAATTTTTATATTAAGCCAAAACAAAATACCCTGCAATTCCACCCAATTGTTTTGGTATGGATAATTTAGAAAGGATGGGGATTGTTAGAAAGGAATGCAGTTAGATGGGTTTTGTGACAACTTTTTCTAATTCTGTGACATTGAGCAAGTTCCTTAATCTCTCTAAACCTTAGTCTGTATTATCTCTAAAGTGGAGACAATAGATTCTCCCAGGACCATGGTGAGGGTTTGGTGTGCAAGCACAGGGAGCCCACAGCAGTGTTAACCTTCTGACCCTTCACACGTGGGTTGTGTCTGCTGGTTGTCACATCTGAGCACTGGGCCCAGAAAAGAGGCGTGATCTCAGCATGGGGACAGATGTGCTTTGACGCAGGGCAGAGAATATGGGTCCTTACAACTCCCCACCAAAGGGCTGTGTGTGTGCATGTGTGTTTATGTGCACCCCATGTTTGCCTGTCTGTTCTGTCTGAGAACTTGAGGGGTGAGAAGGGCACCTCAGGAAGGTGTGATTGCTCCCCAGCAATGGAGAATTATCTGCTTTACCACCTTGTCTCCGGTCTGTGCAGACTCATCTTGCCCCGCATCAGACCCATCCCTCCTTCCTCTGACCTGGGGGGCAGAGCCTTGATGGAAGGAACATCAGGAAAGACGTCAACTCAGCAAAAACATGCAGGAGCTGGGGAAGGTTTGCAGGAGGGGCTTTAATTGCCAAGAACCCAACCAGAAACAGGTGCCGGTCAAGGGGAGGCCAGAAGGGGAGAGGTGGTCAGGAACTGTCCTGGGCTGGGGGCAGGGCGGGTGGTTGGTTTCACTCCTTGGAGCGTCCAGCATCTTGGCAGACGCCAAAGTTCGTGTTGGTGATGGAGCCCACGATGGACTTGTCTGCCTCGCATTTCAGGCCCCGCTCACAGGGACACTTGTAGTAAACCCCATAGAGTGTCTGCAGAGACGTGGAGCCAGGGAAGTCACAGGCTGTTGGGGGCTACTTTGGGCATCACCTGCTTTGGGCCTGACCCCAGGAACCAGCGGGCCATCTGTCTTTTCAGATGGTGCTTCTCCACCCGGTTGCCTCCCCCAGGGGACTCGTGGGCCTGGAGGACTCAGGTTCTGGCTCCCACTCTGGCTCATTTGTTCCTTCTAACTACATCTCTCTGGGGAGCCCCTATTTATCCATCCATGAAATGGGAACACCAACCCATCTGCCCCCACGCATCCCTGCCCCCACCCATCTCTGGTCAGTTGTGAGAAACCATGGGACAGGAAAGTGGTTTGAAGCCTGTTGACCTTCCTCTCTTGTCTCAAGATCCAGGCTGACCTCTTCCCTGATCCCATCCCCAAGCCTCCAGGGCCCTCCTGCTCTGGGCTGCCCCCCAACACACACACACACACTCCTTCTACACCCACCGTGGCAGAGCACTCGCTGTTCTCGCTGGCCTTGGGTGCGCAGCGGGCCAGGCTCAGTCCGCTTGTCCGGTGGCAGCATTTGCTCTTGCACTGGGCGCTGTTCATGCAGAGCTCGCCCTCTTCCTGCGGGGGAAGCCGTCAGCCAGGACTCCTCCCTCACGGGGTCCCCCCACCCTCGTGAGAAACTGGCAGTGTGGCAAGCAGAAGCAGTCCCAGGCTGTGGGAGCAGGACACCCGCTTGCTGGGTGACCCCGGGAAAGTCGCTGGCCCACACTCTGCCTCAGTGTTCCCCTGGAAGGTGCACATGTGCCCCAAACAGGGGCTTCAAACCTCTCTGGGTCCACACCCTTTGAGCAAGGAGCCTGTGAAAATTAAGGACCATCTCCCTGGAAAACTCCCTCCCGTCACAGAATTTTGCACATAATCTCAGGGAGGTTCTGTCCACCAGGCCCAGGCATGGGACCAATTTAAGGACCTCTGGACAGGACGGGTGGCCCCAAAGGGCTTTCCCTGGTCTACCCTCCGAGAGGCAGTGTGGCGCAGTGGGGACAGCATGGCTCTGGAGCTGAGCCCGTGCTCCACCCCTGCTCAATACATTCCAGCTGTGTGGCCCCAGGCAGGTTGCCCAACCTTCCTCTATGTCAGCTTTCCATCTGGAAACAGCGTTGATAATAACAGTACCTGTCTCAGGGGGTCAGTGTGAGGACTGAATGAGTAAGTATTCGTGGGGTATTTAGAACTGTGTCTGGCACGCAGGAAGTGTGCACTGCAGGTCGGAGCTGGAATCACTGGGGGAGCTTTTTAAACACTGGGCTCTGAGCCGGCATTTCTAGGGGGACACCTAGGGCCCTGGGTTTTTAAAAGCTCCCTTAGCCAGATCAAACCACTGTGCTGAGCGCGTGCCCTGCTGATCAGCCTTTTCTGGGGCCCCTGGGCAGAGGCACAGGGCAGGGCACAGGCAGCAAAGGAAGAGATGCGTCACCTCCCAGCCCTTTGGCAGCCCCACATGGGGACATCAGAGGTCAAGAACCAAGCTTAAAAAAATTCCCACAGGGTGATCCAGATGACTCCTCCCCTGAAGAGCCTCTTACCAGGTTCATAATGATTCCCCGGGGGTCAGGCACCACATAGGCCACAGCGAGGGTGACAAGCAGAAGGACAAGGATCTTCTCCATGATGAGTGGGCACAGCTGGTGTAGGTAGTCGCCAGCAGGGCAAGTGACAGAAGACAGAGCCAGCTGGGGTGGTAGGGATATAAAAGGGGCCCTGTTCACATGTGACCCACCTTCCCCATCTCTCAGGGCCTGCTGTGAGCAGAGGCCCAGCTGTGGCCATGCTGCTGGGGGAGGGGGCGGGGGAGCCTGATAAAGTGAGTGGGTGGCAACTGGGCACCTGGCACCTTTCACATCTGGGGGGGATGGTGCGGTGGTGAGAGCACAACGTGGCTAAGAGTGTGGACTCTGGAACAGTAGCTGGGCAAGTTATCTGTTCTGAGTCTCAGTTTTCTTACCTGTCAAATAAGGATAATTTCAAGAGCTGTAAGGGTTAAGCAAATTAATATATGTTATACACAGTACATGTTAATAGACAGACAGAGCTTAGGACAGGGCTTGGCACCTGTAAGCAGTGTGTGTTAGCTGCTATTATTTTTGCTGTCACTCACCTCTTGTACCCTCGCTCCTCGGCAGGGCTGGGACTAGGGTGAGGCAAGGGAGGCACCCAGTGTGTAAGCACCTCCCTAAATTTTCACCCTCAGCACCTCTCCTGTCTCACTCCAGGCTGGCCCTGCTTTTGTCCTCACTCAAACCCAGGTGTCTGGCAATGTCAGGCTCAGGGGAGGAGGATCGCAGCCTCCCCACTCCTCAACCTTCCCAGGCCCCCTTGGGGACTTTAGGGCAGGCCCAGGTCCCTGCGGACCAGCCCTGCAGCCTCATGGCCAGGGGCTGTGTTCTCACTCTGGGTGGACCTCCTCCCGCCCTTGCACTGGTGGCGGGGGGAGGGGGGGGGGCGGCGCTGTCTCCAAGAGTAATTTCAGAGGCCCTTAGGAAATCCTCAAATGATTCTCTCTAGTTTCTTTTTTAAAATTTTACTTAATATCTGCAATTCCAGCATGTAAGAATCACCCCTTCAGTTAAGACTCACCCTGCCCCCTCCCCAAGGCCATATGTGAGCAAGAGGAGGTCTGTGAGCCTCAGGTGGCCCAGGGGCTGGAGGCTGGGAAGGGCGCAGCTGCCTGGGTGTGCTCAGGTGTGGGACCCGAGCAGCCTTCCCAGGACACTGGCCACTGCAGCCAGGAATGGCCTCCTGGCCCAGGTGGTGGGAAATGGCTCCGCTGTGGAGGCCCCAGACTGGGGTGTTTCCAGCACAGCTTCGATCCAGACTTGGCTTCCAAGCTCAGCACTAACTAGCTGCATGACCTTGGACAAGTTATTTAAATTTGTAAGCTCCTTGAGTCTGTTCCATCTACCTAAGGAGGATGAGGGCTCCGTCACTAGGTCAGGATCGAATGAGACAGTGTATGTGGTGTGACAATAAGAATGGGCCTGCCAGGTACTGTGCTAAGTGAAATCAGTTGCACAGAGAAAGACAAATACCACATGATTTCACTTCTGTGTGAAATCTATGCAGAACAAAATAAAACACACAAACACACCAAACAAACAAACTCATAAATACAGAGAACAGACTAATGGTTGCCAGACGGGAGGGACGTTGAAGGACTGAGTGAAAAAAGTGAAGGGATTAAGAAGTACAAATTGGCGGTTATAAGACAGTCACAGGATGTGAAGTACAGCCCAGGGAATACGTTAGTAATATAGAAAAATCTACGTATAGTGCCAGGTGGGTATTAGACTTATCACAAGGATCACTTTGTAAGTTATGTAAATGTCTAATCACTATGCTGTATGCCTGAAACTAATATAACATTGAACGTTGACTGGAATTGAAAAAGTAAAATAACATTATAAAAGCACAGTGTATGCAGACCCTCTGGGGAAGTGACCAGCGTCCAGGTACTCAGCCTGGTCCTGTGCACCCGCCCCCCCAATGACACCACCAGAGGACAGAATACACAGTAAGGGAGCAGCTGAAGGAACCAGCCAGGAGCCTCTCAAAAAGAGAGAAACCTACCCGATTCTGGAGACACAGAAATACCATTGATTAAAGAACACTGTCCTCTCTCATTTTTATGGAACTCAGTGTTAAAAACCACTTTTCCCATGAGCTCATCCTGGCCCCTTCTGCTCCCTCCACCCGCTTCACCCCAACACCGCTGTGAGCGGAGCCGGAGCCAGAGCCGGAGCCACAGGGAAGCTAATTATGGTTCCGCTCCCACAAGTCGAGACTAGAAGGCCGGGGAAGGAAGAAGGAATGGAGGAGCTATTTCTAGCTGTGAGTGAAGCTGTGAAAACGCATCGGTCCCATCTCCAGCTGGTCACTGCCAACTTCCCAAGGAGAGAGAATGGAGTTTTTCTCATTACAAATGAAGAGCATGGCAAAGAGAATGATGGCAATGTTCGTGCTTCCAAAATGTGAAGTAAGAATTAAGCACTTTCTGTACCGAAATCTCATAAGGGGTAATCACCCAATCCCCAGTCTAAGGAGTATTTTGCTTTGCATTTCCCTTTCAAGAAAGAACTGAGTCCTGGTTCCCACGAGCAGTCACATGGGTGTCGCTCACAGGCATGAGTGAGAAAAGCCATAGACAAGTGAATACAGATTCCACTGACATGAGGTTCAAGGAGAGGCAGAAGTAACCTATGGTGATAAAAATCTTCAGGGTTGCATCTGGGAGGGATAGTGACTGGGGGTGCCTTCTGGAGTGTCAGAATCGCTCTAAATTTGGATCTGGGGTGTTGGTAGCACACATGTAAAAATCCACCTAGTGCCTGCTTCAGATTTGAGTATTTTACTGTATGTAATGTAGATACTGCACCTCAATTAAAAAACAAACAAAAATGAAGCAAAAAATTTGCCCTGGTCGAATTTTGCCACCTGGGATGCTGGGGACTGGGGTGGTGCCACGCTTCCTGCGGAGTGGGGCTGGGACGCGGTGGCTATAGACCTAGGAATGTGGCCAACTCCTCTTGGGTGTCTCCCAGTCTCCATTGTTCAAGATGTGCCCCAGACACATGCGGTGGGCCTCTGGCCGCCCCTCTAGGGAATGAGCTCTTTGCTCCCCACCCCAACAGACTGGATGGGGGTGGGCTGCCAATCTAAATGCCTCTCCCAGGGGGTATACTGCCCAACAGTTTGCCCTTGAGCTGGTCTAAAACATGGAATGAGGGAAGCCCAGGAAGGCAATTTTCTGATGAGCTGATGAGGAAAACGAAAAAGCTGGTTAGCAGAGGGGAGGAAGGATAGATTAGCCTTTCAGGAAGAAGCAGCAGCAGCCATTCCCTGACTTTGGATGGAGTTCTGGGTCCTGGTTACACACACACACACACACACACACACACACACACACACACACACACACACCATTCCCATTCCTGCCCCTGTAGGGCCTGAAACTCCTCCATCTTCCTATAACACATCCCCTTTGCTTAAGGCACAGACACAGACATCTCAGTTCTGGGGAAGAGCTCATAGCTCTGGATTAAGGTCAAATGTGCGACAACCCAGGAGTCAGAGCAGGGAGCAGACAGGGAATCCGCTCAAGATTCAGATTCCCTGTCCAGAGACTCTGGTTGACTTAGCTTGTGTGTCCTCCAGCCCCCAGCTGTGGTCTGCCCTGGGCAGAGCCCTGGAAGGACAGCCCCACCTGGGCCTCACAGAATGGGGAGGGGCAGTTCTCCAAATAGAGTGGGTTTTGTTACCAAAGAAAAGGGGAAGGATTCTGGGCAAACAACAATGAATATCTCCTCTACTCCACTGTAGCCTGTTTAGCCCCCAGATAGCACTTCTTCCCCAAGAAGCAGGCTCAGATTACAGTGGGTTTCAGCATAATTGTAACTTAAATTTCCTCTGACTCTCCAGTCTCCATCGTGTTCAGGTGAGGACAGGCAGCGAGACTCATAGGGACTTCCAGGTTGCCTGTCTTTTTTAAATTCAATACTCAGCCTTTGGGTTCTTCTCAGCACCCATGCTCCTGACCAAGATTGTACCGAGTGTGGAGTGAAGTTTATGTAGCTTTGAGGAAGCAGGGGTAGAGGTCTTTATGGCCTTCTGGGTCTTCTGTGGCTGCTGTGAAGGTGTCTCTTGTTCTACCTCACCCTCCTGGTCCTAGTGAAGTTTGTGCTCTGTTCTCTTAGTGTGGTCCCTCCCTTCAGCTGGCCAATAACCCATTTTTCCATATTTGTAATTCCCACTCCTCGTCAGAGCTCCCTTCAAACACATCACACCCATCCTCTGTAAGACCAGTGGCTGGCCTGGTGTCTCAGCAGTCACTGCCCCAGGGTTGTCCTTTTACTTTGGTCATGACCACATCTCAACATTCTGCAGCTTAGAGGTTAAATTGTAAAGTTAAACAAGAAAGAGAAGAGAATTATGAGATATAAAAATATATACATGATACAGCAAGGAAGAAAGTTGGGTAGATACTGGAGTCCTTCCTGCAGATGCCACCTGGCTGCAGGTAGTACTTACGACTTCCCCCATCCCACGTTCCCGCACCCTCGGCCGGCATCTCTGCTGATTGGGGTTCTTAATGCCAGACAGTGACCCAGACCTTATATTCCCGATCTATCTGGGCCCTTGACGGTCCTGCCCCTGTGTTGGGTGGCTGAAGTCTACATTAATACGTTTCCCCCTTCCATTAATTTTTACACTGGACTTGGCAGGAGCAGGAGGCAGCCCAGGCATTTCTGAGTTCTGCACATGCTCCTTCTGCGCCCTCTGTGTATCAGCACCTCCTCCTCCGGGTAGTCAGGGTTTGGCACCCCACCAACAACCAACATTAGTAATCCTCCTTTAAAGAAGTTAAAGTACAATTGACACAGTGAAATCCACCCTTTGTAGTTGCAGTCCTATGAGTTTTGACAAACGCATATGTCATGTAACCACCACCACAACCGATATACAGAACACTTCCACCACTCCTCAAAATTCCCTAGTACCGCCCCTTTGTAACCGATCCCACCGCCAAATCCTGGAGGCCACCAATCTGTTTTATTTCCCTCTAGTTCTGCCTTTCCCATAATGTGATGTAGATGAAATCACACAATATGAACTTCTGGGGAGTCTGGCTTCTTTTATTTTTTATTTAAAATTTAAAAATAATCCTCACCTAAGGGTATGTT